AATTACCTTACTAGTTAGCTTCTTGTTCCTGGTAGCGATGGCCTCCAAGCTACTTGCGATGGCCACCGGTCGTAGCGTCCTTGTGGCTGCACAAAGAGCATGGGTTTAGTCGGCCGCCCAGGAGCTTTTGCCACCTTCCCATGGAAGCAGGGACGCCTAGAGGGGGGACAGGTGCTGTCACTGTCGCTTCCACCGGATAGACCTGAAACGCTGCTCATGGGGAGCATGTCTTTGAGAAGCCTGTTGAACTTGATGCTCAACCAGTTCTGATTCGAAAAAAGACGTGAGGATGTCGGACTTGTTCCTTCAGGCGTGGACAGGATTTTTAGATCATCTCCTTGTGGTGAGCAAGCCCAAACTCAGGCGCAACTTTTGGTTTGAACTGAATAGATTGACCTTGAAATTCCTAGGAACTGGATCAAGGTGCTGATTGATCCATTGGTTTCCAGGAATCACAGCCCTGCCCTGTGCACTCGATTTGGGCAATCACGCTGCCACTCAGCCTCACCTCACCCTTGTCTTAGCCCCGTCCGTGAAACGGGTCGAATCTCCTCACCGTCCGCTGCAACCGAGGACTTCGAAGAAGTCCGCCATTTGGGGCGCGGGGCCTTTGGGGAGGTGAAGCCCGGCGGCCCAGGGAGAACTGCAGCGATGTGGAGAGGAGAACGGCGGTTTGGGGTGTTGAGAGGCGGGTCTTTCGTTGACCGTGGTGCTTTTTGCCTTGAAGACGAAGAGGCAATGTTCAATAGACATTTGATCAGAATGGCTCTTTTTCGAGGCTGTATTTGTCAGTGGTCTGAGGTTTGGGGGGGTCATCAAGAGTCTAAAGGTACTGCATTCAAAAGCATGTTCGACCGAGGCTCATGCGGCAAACGTCCACCGGTCTCCTGTGTGCTGTTCGGGTGCCCAAGAGACCTGTCCTCCGAATGGACAGAGTTGGGACAGGTCTCCTGAAACATCCGGGTGTGCCAAGTAGAAGCCCCAGGACCCAGCGGGATTGGGTGGATCAGAACCGATGCTTCATCATTCAACCCCAAAACCATGCGAATACAGTTCGCAACGGACAGATGATGTTCGGATGTTACTTGTAACACCCCCTTTGACGCCCCAGGACGCCATCAAACATGAAAGCTAGAATCCTTTGAACACAGCTACCTCCGTGCAGTTCCCACAAAATACGAGCGACCAGGACACCTCTGGAGTCTACGATGACTTGTTTTGCTTCATTGGCATTTTCCACCAAAATATGCTGTCCATTCCCAAAATGGGACATTGGCATTTTCATTTTGTTTTTGGGGGCCAAGTCCCATTGCTGGCATGGCAATTCTTCTCTTCCGAAAGGCCGATCCGTTCACCGACGGACGGACGAAGCGCTTGGTCCGTGGTCGGGCCCAGGTGAAGAAGCTGGGCAAAGCTGCGTTGACCGCTGGGGGACCGAGAGGAACCGAGAGGGTCCAGCGTCACAAAAACGTCCGGACGAGGGCAGAGGATGGTCAAACCAGGTCAAAACCACTGAAAAAGGCCTCAGCAAGGGGGGTGTTTGGATCCCTGAAAAGAATGTTGTTTTGAAGCAAGTTCCCACCAGCTTGCAGCCCGGCCAGATTCTCCATCTCGGCCACGCAGAGCTGTTGTGGATGTGACCCGGGGGGGAAGATGGTGCAGGGGATTTGTGGATATTTGTGGTCGAGTCTGAAACTAGTGGCACACGTTAAGGGGTATATTCGGGTAGATTGTTTGTTGTTTGGTGCTGTCAAAACACGACTGTCGTCACATCATGTCAAACATGTGCAAGAGATCAATGAATCAACGGAAAAGTCAACAACATAAATTATTTAACAGTTAGCAGACATTCTTCAATGACGGCAATGAAGATCTCCCAAAACATACACCAAAACACATGGATTGTTGCACCTTTGGTACCTCCCATGGGACCTCTGATGTGGCGTCGACCTGTCGCTTCGGTTTTCACGCACAGAAGGGGTCCCGCCCGTGAGGCAGGAGAAGAGGCCGAACACCTGGCGGAGGCGTTGGCACTTCTGGGATCGGGGGTCCCACCCGGTTGGCCAAGGGTGGAGAGATTGGGAGCCATTGGGAGCTGCCAATTTTTGGAGAGTTTCATCAGGTATGACGATATGATGTAGATGACTCGCCACCTGGGGGGGACTTGTTTTAAGATGTAAGCATTCTGTTTTGCACATGGATTGCGAGCCTTTTTCTGTTTTCGCAGAGACACAGTACTTTGGAGTCGCTTGAGAACGTTACTACCCCGCAGGTTGTTGGCAAACTACATCAGTTGCAACCACAAAACTCCACCCAAGCACTTATACTACTTATAGATCAGAAATATCTCCGATTCTTGACTGATGGTCATAGCAAGTCATAGATTGTCATAGCCATGGCCACGACGACCATGACTCCTGGACCTCACCGAACGGCAGGTGAAAGCGTTGCAAACATTGCAACATCCGTGGGGAGCCCAGCGAACGAGCGGCAGTTTCGCCCAACGAGTTTGGGAGAGCGACGACATGCGACGACAAATGGGGCAAAGCAACCATCGGTCGGGGCTTGGTGTTTTTTTCTTTTCGACCGAGGTGAGTCTTTTGTTGCTTTTTGCAACTGTGTTTGCAATGTTTATCATTACCACCAAGAAGCTATCGCCCCAAATGGGTATTGTTGTTCTCCCTATACATGGCTATAAGCGACCTGCGAATCCAGAACACCCGACCCCGTCCCACACAAACAAACTTCTCCGCCGTCTTGTGCCGAACGCGTACCGTACCTCTACCTCGCCTACCGGTGCCCACGGGCGCACGGCTCGCCGCCTCCGCGCCTCCACCCGGACGAAGGTGCATCCTTCGGTACTACGGCTCGGTGGAGTTGGACGAGACCTTGAGCTTAGCGCGGCGACCCAGCGCAAGTAACATGGCAAGTCCAGCGACCGGCTCCAAGCCTGGCAGTTTCAGGACTAAAGAGAGGTGATTTGGGGGTGGCCGTATTCAATATGATAGCATATTATAGGGTTTGCGCTAATACCTGTAACAGTCAGTACACAAATATTGCTATTTTTGGACAAGGCAAACCATCATCATCCACTGTTGCAGGTACTAGGATAGATCCAAAGTATATGATAACATCTTGGCGTTGCACATTCGCCTCAGGCCTCCAAGAGCAACTTGCTCTCCTGCGCAGCAGGTGAGTAGATCCACCACGCCCTAGCCCTCAGCACCCTTCAGTCAGTCAGCATCTTTTTAGGGTCTCCTCTCAGCCTCTCAGAGAACACCAGCTTTTAAAATATTTTGTATATATATATATATACCCTGATCTAAGGAGTCCACATGAGTGCTTGGTCATGAGTGCTTGGTCATGACTGTATATATGTGAGCTTCACAAACTTCCAGCTCCTCCTTTCAGACCGCGCCCTGACCATAATCTTCAGACGCCCACGGCCGTTAGAAGGATGGGCCGCGCCGTTTCCGCCAGCGCGGCCCACGGGCGTTTGGGACTTCCGCAGGTCATGGAGTTTGCGGATGCTGGTGACCTCCAGCAGTTGCTCAAAGAGCCGCCCGGCGACCGTTTCGTCGCAGGCTGTGCCGCCGCACAGCGCCGAAGTTGGAAGATTTCATCCATTGACACGGTGGATGGTGGTTGTTGGGGAGCCGATGGCCATGTTTTGTTGGGCTGAAAGTGACTGAGTGAAAGAGAGGGTGCTTTTGCTTGTTTTTTTTCATCGCGGTTTTGGGGGATGTGAGATGGATGCTTTTTGAGATGGGATGAGGGCGCAAACGAAAACGACTACAAACAAATGGTATGGGGATGGTGCAGGATGGTACTAGAAAGGGTATGATGGCAGAAGTAATTCATGTTGTTGTTTTTTTGGGGGGGAGGGGTATATTACGGTGTATATATATATATAATATGGAGAATGGATCACAGGGGTGGAGGCCATCGCCAGTAGAAAAAACAGAACAAGGAAGCTGGAAGAAAGAACCAGGGGTCACCTGGAGGGGAGTTGGATGGTTTCCTTCCATCCAGGGGCCGTGGAGTAGCTGGGGACCCCGTCTTGTGACTCCTGGCCGTGAATCGAACCGCCCAGTTCGACCGGGGACGAGCGGCCGTCCGTCCTTTTGCCGTGAACGGGTCGGGGAGGAGAGTCCCATCCCTTTTCAGAGTCGGTGAAAGATGGATGTCACCCCCCATTGTTATGTTGAGATGTCTTTGTTTTTGGATGTTTTTGGTACTAATTATGGGGTACTATGGGGCCATCATCATCCACGGTGTTGCTGCGAGAGATCCAATCATGAAAGCCGATACAGTACGATCCTTAGCCGTTCTGAGGGCCTACAATTAGTTCTTCTTCTTCCCAGGTAGGCGGACACATGTCCAGTCTCTGAGGCAAGCAGATAGTGGGAAGCTCTTCGAGGTGGGCGTTCGTTGGTGGAAGAGGTGCACGTGTAGAGGCGATAGTGATCCCCAAACAGATAGTGGCCTTGGTTTCCAACACCTGATTAGTGGGGATCTACATGTTCTATTTATCTTTGGGGTGTCTATATGCAGGATACACATTGGGGTTCTTCATCATCTCAGGTTTTCTCGAACAAATTTGTGTAGCTATCAGGATCTTCATATTTACCGTGGTCGGGGGCTTGAGATTTAACCTGAAGCCACACAAAGTTGTTTGGATTCAGATTCATGAGATGAAGTCTGATGTGGCTCGCTGCAAAGTGTGTGGGGGAAACGTTTGAAAGCCAATTGATTGAAGCCTTTGGCGTTTGCACATCATCCGCACATGACTGGTATAAGACGCAGAACGTGCACAATATTACTCAGTAACCTGTGCTAGTGACATCTTGGCCCCAACAAATCTAATTACAATGTCCATCCATATCCAAGTAATGGATATATAGTTTTATTGGAATTTGGAAATGCTTGCTAGCAAATAAAGTTCCATCTAGTTTTTTACAATTTCCAACAGATCTAATTACAATGCTTGCGGTGGCATAGTTAAAACCGTGCTGTTCTTGCCAGAGGCTTGCAGCACATGCGAGACAGGGGCCTGTTCAGCAGGACTCCACGTCGCGTCGCGACGCCATGGGACATGGAGAGCTGCGAGATCCAGGTGGGGTGTGAAGCTTCGACCTCTGGGTATGTGTCCAAGTGTTTGCTTCTTTCAAAGTCGCAGTCGCAGGGTTTGGGGTTTAGGGTTTAGAGAACGTAGCACGGCTATGCTTGCAACGATGGTAAGAAACTTGATAGGTGGCAGGATTTTCAGCTGCCGCATGCCATGACAGTGGGCGTTTTTTCGGGCGAGGGAACCATGGCGAAGGAAACAGCAGACACAGGCCACACAATCTGACACCATCACGGCAGCTCCCCGTGCTTGTCGCTGTCCGTTGAAAAGAATCCACAGCACGTTCTATTCAATTTGTGGATATTCGTGGTAAGACTTGCACAAAGAAGAGTGAATTCGAGTCATCTCAATTTTGAGAGCTTCTCTCGTCATCCACCAATCTCTGCCGTGTCTCGTAGGCATCATCACCATTCGGGTTTAAAGGGAACGTGTTACAGACCAAACGGATCGTCGATTGGGGGCTTTCCAACCCACGGTGTCCACCGTTTCCCACCGGCCGATTTGTTCGATACCGGGACCCACGGAGCCCGTCGGTCTCGCCCTCGCCAGGTCTCCGTGTCGGGCTTGGATGGCTACAGCTTCACCGTGACGGTCTCGGAGCAGCTCTTGGGGCGTGAGCTGTGGGACATCATCCACGCACGGCTCCCACCGAAGCCAGGCCGGCCTGTGCATGTGTGTGATAGAACTGTTTGAGGGGTGAATGGTGAATGGTGAAGACCATCATCGTGAAGGATCGGAACTCCGTTGACGGAATCGCAGGTGCGCGTCTCCTGCTGCAGCTCCTTGGCTTTTAAGACCTCGGTGAAGAAGGTCGACTTGCAGATTCAAAGGCTTCAAGTCCGGCCAGACTGAACCCTTGAAACTTCATCACCTTGTTAAATCGCCAGGCACCTTTTGTAAGGCTGGAACAGCTGAAACTGTGGTTGCCTTTTTTCGGTCACTTTGTTCCAGGCTGTGGTGCTGACCAGGCGGGTAGGAACTGACCAGGCCCACACCCTCAAAATCGAGCCCGTTATGCAAATGTTGCATGCCTGGTCCATGCAGTACCTGGAAGTTCTGCCAAGAAGGAAGTGTGCTCGACCGCACCACTACCACAACAAAAAGAACCTCAGATGTGGACCTCAAGACCTCAGATGAGGACCCTTAAACTTTGAAGATGCTCCATAGTTAACAAATCCTTCGATGGTTCCCCACAGGTTGCGATTTCGCCACAGGGGATTCTCAAAACGGAGCACCAAAACCGGAGATGAACGGTGATGGGTCGTGATCCACCAAGTTCGCCCGAGCAAGCCACCAAGTAGCCTGTTTGACCGACACCATGTACGTCAACTGGTCGGCGTTTGCCATGCCCCGCTGGTCTCTTGAGGCACGAGTCTCAAAGGCTCTCGCTGAGTAGATCTTTGAAAGAGCAAGGCCTAAGCAAGGCTCTCACCGGCACTGGCTTGTCCTATGTCACTTGGCGCCGGCCAATTGGAGAAGGACCAATTCGGAGGTATGTGGGAAGGAAGGAATTTGGCCAAAATGGGTTTTATGATGTTTCATTCACCCTATAGGGCTCCAAGTACCTTCGTTTCCAAGGTGGGACTGGGGTGGGTGCTATTGTCGGGTCCAGTCATACCGAACCTGAGGAGGCATGACTGGAGGTGTAGGGAGGAATTGGGTCACCTTGATGGGTGGATGACTTTTTGAATCGGTGGAGGATTGATTTCTTTTGGTCCGTCTACTGTGGCTAAGCGGCCACTGTGGCGTTTGTGTGTTCAATGCGACGGGATTGGGCGAGGCCTAGCCGTTGAGATAGCAAGGCCCTGGTGGCGACTTGCGAGGCCAGGCTAAGCTGGATGATTGTCCAAAACACCCAGGCTCAGTGAAGTATTTGTTTGGAGCGGAGGTGTCAGAGTTCTCTTTCTATGGCCAAAACCGGGTATTGGTGCGGCTCTATTGGCTCTATTGGTGCTTATGTGAATGGCCACATTATGCCACATGTTTCTTGAATTTGCATCACTTAGGTCTATGTGGCCATTGACCTTCGCCATGCGTGGCGTTTCATCCAAAACTTGCCTGTAGAGGATGTGGAGCTGTCACTGGAGGGAATCACAGCTGTGGATGGCATCGAACATATGGGGCAGGTGCTGTGGCCGACACCTTGTGAGGTGGTGGTGGATTAAAGGAATCGCTCCCGGCCCTAGAGGACGGCCGTACGAATTGGGCATCACGATGTAAACACACGTGTCTGACAGGGCCCTTGACGCCGGGAAGAACGGCGGACGGGTCGATCGTCAGTTGAACGGGGGAAAACGGATGAAAACGCAGCCGATTTGCGTGACGCAGCGGTCCAGGAGACCCCGAAGTCCAAAGCTCTGTCCTTGGGGACCCTATGGGCCCGAATCCGGAGGGGTCAAAGGGTCGAACCATTTTCCAGCTGAGGGACCGGTCGGGCGTTACTCGGGGTCGCGTTTGGGGAGGAACGAAATGAAACCGCCCCATGCCATGACGGTCCCAAGATCACGTGAAATCGACTTCGCAATCGCGAAATGCGTGAAATCGTTGGTTCAGTGGGTCAGTGGGTGCGCCCAGGTGTTGCAGATGCAGCTGCTTCCGAACCGCTTGCAACACCTGTCCTTCGGTGAGGCAGAGGATCAGCTGGACCTGAGGCAGCTGGACATTCCGACTTTGAAAAGCCTTCAGCTGGGGAGTCGCTTCAACCAGAGCTTGGAACAGGTGACCCGACGATGGGTCCGGCTTTTGGTTGGCAGAAAGGAAAAAAACTCCGTGCTGTTGAAGAATCATGTTCGGGTGACCAGTGCACTGGGCTTGCCGGGCTCGGTTGTGGGGAATGTCATGGTTTTTCTTTGCTCTCTCAGGGATGTCTTTTTGATATGCCACTTGGGCATGGCTGCACACATGAAGGAGAACATTCGTCCACATCTAGCTGATGTCAGTGGCACCAATGGGGTTTCTTCATATCGTGATCATATATACCCTGGAAGTCAAAGATTATTCAACAAAAAAACATCATATTCCGGTATAACATCAGATGATATGTAAAACAGAATTGAATGAAGACAAACTATTAATTCGTTGTGGCCATGCAAAGCATACAGAGTGTATTAAAAAAATGGGAAGATCATCAAATGTTTTCTATTAGAAAGGTGTGTCGATATCCACTTGACACTTTCGGCTCGTTTAGTTGAAGATAGGTTCGTTGATGACCTGTAATAAGTGTCACCAGTCCCAAGCCCGGGACGGTGACACGTGGTGCCTGGCGTGCTCCGCGTGGGAGACGCTTGGGCAGGAGCTGACCAGTCGGTGGTCGTGCTCCTCGTCTCGGTGGCTGGCAGACGATTTAGTCCTGTCAGTCACCCGCCAGGTGCGGTTTCTCCGGAACCTCAGCGCTGGCATCAGGGCGAACGCGGAGGCAGCAGCTGGCCGGTCCGATCGCCCAGTGGCCGCTGGCAAGCGAGCCAGAGAGGAGCACGACGACAAGCCGGTTCTTCAGAGGAGGAAGGAAGCCAATCAACAGCACGCCTTGGACCTTCAGCCAAAAAGGAGGAGCGACAGGCTAAGCAAGGAGGTGCTCTCAGACACCGACGAGGATTCCGAGGAGGAAGAAGTGGTTGAGACCACCCACAAGCCATTGCCTGGATCGAACGACAGGAAGCCACCGGAGCCAAAAGGCCCACCTCCATCGCGGAGGCCACCGGTTGCAAAAGAAGGCCAAGCACAGAGCAGGAAGGAAACACCAAAGGATCGGAAGGCTGGAACACGACCCGGAGCTTCCCATCCATCGCAAGTTGACAGGGGCATTGTTGGACAATCTGGCATCGGAGCTGGAGCGGGATTTCCGTGACACCCACCAATGACTCACAGGGTTCATCGAGAGGGTGAAGTCTTCACCCAATCAGATTTTGTACAATGGGTGACATTGGCACCAATGAGGGGAGATGTGCTGGTAGTAGACCTGGGCACGTCCTCTTATCAAAGCGCACCTCAAACCCTTGGCTACCTTGTCCTCGAGGTTCAACTCATCCCGGGAACTGGAACCCTTGCAGTTCGGTGCAAAAGCTTGGGCTCGTCCAATCCCAGTCTCAACAAGGACCTATCGCTGCGGTTCAACAGAAAGCAAGGCTGGTTGCATTTTTGCAGTTCAAACCCCTGCATAGAGGAGCATGCCGGCGACATCCATGTGTCCAGCGTTGTATGGCACTCTCTGGCTGGAGCGGAGGATCAGTTGACAGCCACCGCTGTTCGGTCTGCCAGAAAATGGCTTGCAGAGGTAGAAGAGCCCTACTGGCCGGAGGAGACAGAGACTACACCTCCAGAGGCTGGCATGAGCCCGGGCCCTGGGGGAGAAGAGGAGTCGTCAAGACCATCGGCGTTGAGGAGACCTATGGACGCAGAAGGTACAGAGGCTGGAGGCTTGGGAGGGGCCGCCAAGCCCAAGGAGCGAGCAGCCAAAGTTCGCCCTCAAAGAAGGTCGTCAGAGACAGAAAAGGAGGTTGCACCAGCTCGCAAGCCGGCCAAGAGATCCAGGGTTGGAGACGGAGTTGCTACGGCTGCGAAGGAAGCCAAAGGCAAAGGAGTTGGCAGTCAGAGTCGCTCTACCACCTCACTCCCGGCCGAAAAGGTTCAGAAGCTTCGCGACGAGCTGCAGAGGTCGAAGGCAAAGCTTGCAGGAGGAGGACCACCAGATCCACCACCCGAGGGGGACTCTCCGGATGGGGAGGACGGATCCGGGTCGGGCTCGAGCGACTATTCTGGATCAGGCAGCTCAGGCTCTGCGGAGGAGGCAGGCCTGGGAGCTGGGACTCTTCTGAATCAGGATCCCAAGAAGGTTCAGGGAATGTCCCACCAGAAGGCTTTAAGCGGAGGTACTTCCGAAGGGTTTCACGAGCAGCTCATCCGACGGGCAACAGGCAGTGCACCTCGTCCCTTGAGCAGGTCAACCGACAGGCACAAGGACCCCGAGAAGAAGAAGGACAAGGAGAGGGATCACAGGCGTGGTCATTCCGCGGGCCGCAGGTCAGACAAGGACAGTGCCAGGAAGGAGAAGAAAAAGAAAAAGAAGAAGAAAAGCAAGCGGCATGCCAAGAGGAAGAAGAAGGACAAGAAGAAAAGGAGGAGGAAGGTGACCCTTTCGGATGGGAGGATCATCAGCTGCTCCAGCAGCTCCAGCGACAGCTCCAGGACTCCGAGTTCAACAGAGGACGAACGGGCGCTGGAAGCGCCTCTCAAGAAGAAGTCGCTGAAGCAGCCGGGCTCGGTATTGAACATGCTGCTGGAACACATTTCCGTGCAGCTTCAACAAAATGCGGAGGTGGACACACTAGCGATCCGTCACGGAGATCTTACATCGGGAGTGAAGGTGATGACTTACCTGTCACCGATCGTCAAGCCCCAGTTCTCACATCGTCCCAAAGAGCTTCGCGAACTACACATGTTAGCTTCAACGATAGATCTTCTGAGGCAAGGTCAGCTGGCGAAGCTGGGGGATGTCCTGGCGGGCAGGCTGGTTGCGATTCACCAGAGCCTCCTGGACTCATCCTGGGTCTCTGCCAGACACTTGGAGGTTCTCCCGATGCCAGAGGGTGCAGCATTGGGGGATGGAGTGCTCCTAGCAGCGAGGAAGCACGGCCGACAAGTGATCAGGACGTCAATGCATTCTGGCCGACAGGAAAGGGTCGCGGAAAAGGAAGTTGGTGGAGGCCACAGGATGGAGAAGCCGATTGGTCATGGCGCGAACCAAAAGGAAAAGGAAAGAAAAGCAAGAAGGGAAAAAGCAAAGGAAAGAAGGACAAGGATGCCCACGATGCAGAAGCAGGTACAAAGACGGACAAGTGAAGATTGATGGGTATGAGGTAGAGCTGGCTCAGGCCGAGCTCGACTCAGTGCAAGTGAAGCAAACAGAGGATACAGTTGGCTTGGGGCTCTTCGCTGGATCTCTGGCAGGCATCAGCACCCTCGCACAGGCTGGTTGCTTTGGAGCATGGCTCATCGCCAATGCGGAGAGCTCGGAGCTGAATCAGCTTTCTCTTGTGGTTAGAAAGGTGGTATTTGAACACTGCTGGAAGCCACAAGTCACCTCAAAGAAAGGGGTGATTTTTCCTATGAGAGCGGGTGATCTCGCGGGCTTTGCAAGGAGTTTGAGGTCTCTTTCATTGGGGCACGTTCTTCAGCATACCTACGCAGACAGCAATGGCAGCTGTGTGCAAGAGTTGGGGTGAATTCCCTATGTGGAGGACGCAGGCCGCTGGCTGAGGGGAGGCTAAGTGCCATCCAGACTCGTGCCGCGGCCTCCATCGCAAAGTCGTGCGGGAGGTTCCTTGACCTCAAGGGACGGCACTCATGCACCGCTGACTCCGTTGAGCAGGAGTTAAAAGGGAAGCGGATTTCTTATACCGGTGGAGATGGGCACTTGTCATCCTCTTACTTTGGACCAAGTCATCCCTGGGTTGCCGCCGATCGGTCATGGAGGGTCGGTCGATGTGTTGGACCTGGTTTCCCAAGGCACTTCAAGGCTGCTGCAGGACCCATCTCTTTTAGTCCTCCCGGATGTTGGTCAGGAACTCCCTTCACTTCAGGCTAAGGTGCATTGTCCATCCGAACATGTACTGCCGCTTTGTAAGGAATTGGTCAACCGAAACATTTGCTCATGGAACAAACTTGAGGACGTCTTTCACTACAGGAACCAACCGGTTCTTTCAGGACTCTTTGGGGTGGAAAAACCCTCGGTGCTCCCAGATGGTCGGAAAGTTCTTCGCCTGATTATGAACTTGGTCCCTGCTATATGGACTCGATTCACGGAGTCGTGAGGCATTTGCCCTCCGTAACGGCGTGGCTCGGCCTTACATTGAGCGAGGGGGAAGGCATGGCTTTGTTCCAATCAGATCTAACCGCGGCTTTTTACCTGTTTAAGCTGCCTAAGATTTGGGAGAAATACCTCGCCTTCAATGTGAAAGTCAGGGGATCAGACATCAATTTGGATCCTTCTTCAACCTATGTATTGTCGTGCTCGGTACTCCCGATGGGGTGGAGCTCCAGCGTGTCCATCATGCAGGACTTGGCAGAACGTGTTGCACTTCTTGGGGAGCCACCGGTAGGAACTCAACTGGCCCGAGGACGGGCACTGCCGGCATTCTTGACGAGTTGCATCGATCTTGCGGAGGCGAAAGATATGCCTTGGTGGCACGTATACCTTGACAACTTTTGCGCAGATGAGAACAGCTTGGCAGGACAGAGCCTTCACGATTGCGTTGAGGATGCGTGGTCTCGGGCCGGGCTAGTGTCCTCTGCAAAGAAGAAGGTATCGTCCGCTTCACAAGTCCAAGAGCTGGGGGCCTGGCTGGACGGCGAGAATAGGATGGTCTTTGTTACAGGTGAAAGTTCAGACGACACTTTGGACTTTGGGTGGACGGATCCTGCGAAGGAAGATCGTCCAGATCGTCGTTGGTAGGTGGGTTCATGCTTTGCAATTCAGAAGGCCGGGGATGATTGCTTTGGAACATGTTTGGGATTTCATTTCTGGGAAGGCCACTGGACCACGGGTTATTGCTGGTGTGAGGCGTGAACTCTGGACCTTAGTGCTTTTCTCCCCCTTCCTTCACTGCAATTTGGGGGCTGCGATTGATGCCTGCACAACCGCGTCAGACGCCTCCACGAAGGGCGGGGCGGTTGGCATTTCTCACAGCTTGACTCAAGCAGGGATGGACTTTGTCTTGGCTTCAAAGATCAGGAGTATTGAAATCAACTCACATCCCATTTTGGTTGTTTCCTTATTCAACGGAATAGGTGGTTGCTTTAGGGTCTACGATGTCCTCAACATCCAGCCTGTCGGGATGATCGCGGTCGATCTCTATGGTCCAGCCAATCGCATTGTCCAGAAGAGGTGGCCTCAGGCCCAGGTTGTCACGGACGTTAGGAATGTTGACTCTGAGATGGTCCACCAATGGTTGCTTCAATACCCTATGGTCGAAGAGATCCACCTTTGGGCAGGGTTCCCTTGCACAGACCTCTCCAGGGCTGGGGCTTTCCGTCAAGGACTTCGGGGACCTGCTTCTTCCTTGGTTTTTGAGATACCCAGAATTGAGGATCTGTTGAGGGGAACTTTTGGCAATCAGGTGCTTGTCAAACGTGTCATCGAGAACGTCTCGTCGATGGCCAAGTCGGCTTGTGAAGAAGTGTCTCAGATCTTTCACACCTGGCCTTATGAACTAGATTCTGTTGATTCAGTGCCTATGAGGCGACCACGCTTCACTTGGTGTAGTGCACCTTTGGAGGGGGGCGCTTGAAGGGCTTGAGTTCATCCAACACCAGTACTGCAGGAGGGTTGAGGCAGTGGCCCCCTACCCTTCAGTCGACCAGTGGGTTGACCCCCACTGGGAGTGGGCTGGCACGTGGCAAGATTGGGGCATCCTACGAACAACACCTTGGCCAAGATGCAACTGTCTAGTGCCAATGTAGAGATGATCAACAGAGCGAAGACCTACAAATGCCCTACATGTCAGCAGGTCAGTGCACCAGTGCCACGAACCACCATGTTTGGCAGAGAATGCTACGCGCAGCCTCCAAGTTCCATCAACACTGGTCCAGTCACTACGGAGTGCTTACAGCTTCTAGTGGCACGCGCTGGTCTGGCAATATCAAGTGAGCACAGGGGGGCAGCCTGGCACAGGGCAGAAAAGCTTCTGGCCAGGCGCACCTGCCGCAGCCATGGGACGTCAGCCTGAGCAGCTGTATGAAGGCGATCCCAAAGGACCAGCCTCCTCCCAAGCCAGCTGGATTGGCTCGCTGTTCTAGTGCTACCATAGCTCGCTGGCAATCGCATGGATATAGGTTCCCACCTTACCAATACAAAGATGAGTTCTTATTTTGGCAAGGAGGCGATTGGCGAGTGGCATCTGCAGCTGAGCGTGAGCGCCTCCTTGGCTACGGCGAAGGGCGCACGAGCCTGTGCCTTTGCGCAAGCCAGCAGAAACAGGTGGGGGGCCAAGCTTACGAGGACATGAGGTGTTCTTTACTTGGAGATAGTTTCTCCGTTCTGTCCTTTGTCATTCCGGGGGCGGCACTATGTCGCCGGTTTCTCCCGTCGGTGGAGTACCAATGGTTGGCAAACAGAATGGGCTTGGCACCAGGTTTTAGATCCCCTCTCCGCTGTCCGGCTCCTATTTCACGTGGTCTTCAGTATGGGTTTCACACGCAGGCCCTGACTTCCATGCTTCGGCCACATGATCTGAACCGTATTCTCCTGACAAAGGTCAACCACACTGGATCCGATGTTCGAATTTCTACTGGAGATGTGCTTAACCCTAGGGCGTTTCCACGCCAAGGGGCTGAGGCCTCATGGTGGAACTGGGAACCAGTGTTTCATTGTCGTTGGGGGGAACCAAGAACACATCAACAGTCTTGAACTGCGCGCGATTGTCTTGGCTGTACGGTATCACATCAGCAGAAGGGCAGCGGTAAGTACCCGTATTTTTCACCTCACTGACAGTTACGTTTGCATGAGCGTCATCGGCAAGGGAAGGTCTGGTTCAAAGAAACTTGCATTCGTTCTTAAGCAATTGAACTCCATGCTCCTAGCCTCTGACTTGTATTTGGTCATAGGTCACGTTGAGTCCAGTCAGAATCCCACTGATGAAGCATCGCGACGCTAGTGTGTTGGGACGTCGGTCAACGGCCGAGCGAGCCCATGCAAGAAGAGGCATCGTCTTGAGAGATTCCATCGTTAAGCCCCGGACTTTAGAGCAGTACTACAGGTTTGGTCGGAAACTTTTGCCACTTTTTCGGGCTGCAACTTCTGAAGAGCAGTTGGGCGATAGCATTTGTTCATGGATTGAGGACGCTTGGTCCAGAGGACGCCCGCTTTACCATATTTCAACTGCACTATGTGGAGTTCAGTTTTTTCTGCCCGGGGATTCGTGGCAAGATTCCTGAATCTTGGAGACTCTTTCGTGTGTGGAGACGTTTGGAAGTGCCTTGTCGAGCGCCTCCAATGGCGCAGGAGATTGTGTTTGCTATGGCAGCTTTGGCTATTCAGCGAGGAGATTTGATTTTTGGTGCTTTGCTCCTCACTGCCTTTGAGGGCTTGCTGAGGACCGGTGAGTTGTTGGCACTTTGTGGATCAGATCTGTTGATCAGGAACGGCCAAGGCCTTGTAAGGTTAGCAAACACGAAGACATCCGACCGGAAAGGTGTCACAGAGATGGTTACCCTCCAACATCCTTGGGTCATTATGGTACTCCAAACCCTCCTGGAATATTTGCAAGAAAAGAACTTGAAATTCGCGAAAATTTGGAGAGGCACCCCTTCAACGTTTCGTGGCCGCTTCAAGGAGTACTGTAGGTATTTCAGACTTCAACGCTGCGGTTTCAGACCATACAGCCTCAGACGAGGTGGTGCGACTCATTTATTTCAGGAGAGTCTCTCATACGACTTAGTCCTAGACAAGGGACGCTGGAGTTCCATCCGTGCGGCAAAGCTGTACATAATGGACGGCCTTTCCAAGCTACCACACCTGAGTTTGGATGCTCACAGTCTTGACTTAATCTCTCAATGGTCCCCCTTTTAAGTTTCCCTTCACCCACGCTGGGGTGAGACCTGGGACCGTGGAAGGTGAGCCATATAGGCCTAAAAGTTCTTGTTTTCTTAAAGATACCAGTGTTGGTAACCCCTGCCGGGGGATTTTCCTTCACTGACGAAGCGCTTCTGCCATGAAGCATGAACGTGAGAGAAGGTCTGAACGACCAATTTCATGAAGGTCTTCAAGAGACCAGTGGGGTTGGAACCTCACCTTCTTTAGGCTGACTCGAAGAGTCAATGACCGCCTCTGGCGTTCAGCAGTGTAAAAGTGTGATTGAGACACAGAAATAGTGTTGATATAAAATATAATGGATATGAATGTCCATATTGTCTGTATAAATATAGAAGTCGTCGTTCAAAAAGGTTTTTGGATGACCCGAAAAGACATTTCCTTTACTTGGGTGGCCCCTGGTGCCAAACATAGTCTTTGGACTTCTATAGGGTAAATGATTTTGCAAACCTTCAACTTGCAATCGTTTTCTCTGGCCATTGGGATAGGAGCGACAGATGCTGATCCAAATGACCCTCCCGGCCATTGAAAGTAGGTCATTTGGCCGCAGAACCTCCAAGTGCTTGCCCTGGGGGACTCCTTCAATCAGAGCTTGAAGGAGATTCAGTTCCTGATCTGGAGCGGAACGTTCACGTCAATATGCTGTTCAATCCATCCGCACCATCGGAACCGATCCTAATCACCAGTAACTACAGCTCACGGATCGGGTCGCCGATGCAGATCTGATCGTGACGACTTCTTGTCACCCTCCCCCCCCAGCGTCCGCAGAGCGACCGGTGAAGCACTGGGAACCCGTCACTCGTGTCAAGACCGAAGGGGCCACGTTCGATGAAGGTGAAGGGTCCCAAAGCAACCCTCCTTCGCCGCTGGAGACCTTCATTTAAGAGTTGTTTGAGTCAAGGGTGCTTCAAAAGCCAAGGGTCGTGACTGATGGACTTAGGGAATTCACCTTTCAGGAACTTGCTAGGCCATGGTGCGCGTAGGCATCTACTTACCCTTCACAAATGCCCTCCTCAGACCAAGACGGAATGGAACGCAGTTTTGGAACTAGATCATTTGCCTTCACCTTTTTTTTTCAGCAAGACTCCTTTGATCTTCCTTGCATTACTGTACAGAATCGGCACCACCGGTTTCTGCTAACGTTGAGACATGTAGAAACCGGAAGAGGCTTGGAGCTGCTCTTTAAGCTCTTGGTTCAGCCCACTGTTTCGGCTACGAGTCTCAGACCGAGGTTTCCTGAATCCTTGGAGGTCTTGACCTTTGGCCGCGACTTCAACCAGCCCCTGGGCATCACGCTCTCTACTCGCACTCCGCGGCTGCGCACGTTGATGTTGGGCCGTGACTTTGATCAAAGCCTGCAAGGCGCGCTTTTAGGACGAAACGAGCGGCAAATGAGCTGTGAAAAAGCCAACATGGGTATCAGCGAACAGCTGGTAATGTACATGCAGTGTCATGACCATGAAAAAACTAAATACCACCTGGCTTTGCAGACCTTCACTCTTGGGGTTGGCAACCCCTGCGGAGAAGCGCCTACCGTGTCCATCGGTGTCCCGTCGTCGCGACGTGTTCGCAAAGCAAACCACTGGATCTCTTCGTGAGATCATGCACCGAAAGCTAAACAGATGTGTGGATGAAGCGACGTTTGTCTATAGCCTAGCCATCGCCGGCTCGTGCCACGGGCGATGAATTTAATTCAGCGACAGTTTCGTGCCATTTTCCACTCTTGAGACCTCAAACAAAACAACGAAATCACCGACCTCAGAGTCATGCCAAACGTGTCCCAGTGCTTTCTCCACCGTTGCGGCGGCCTTTTTTTGTGGGCTGTGGTTGCAATGTCCGATCCGAAAAACCACCACCACAACAGCTAACCCCAGCGGAAATGGTTTTGTGCAGGAAGCTTTTTGCCCAACAGCTTGGAGAGACTCACCTTTGGAGCGCGCTTTGATCAGAGCCTCATCTCGCGCGTCTCGGGGATGCTGCGGGGCGTGCTGCCCAAGGGTCACTTGGTGCGCACGGCTGGTCTTGGTGAGCCTGGAAAACAGGGTGTACGAGAAATGAGAAATGGTAGAGAGGGAATTTTGATGAACTTGATGTGATCCAGTGGCTTCATCATAGTCATTTGGTAGGTAGGCCCAATATATTGTTTTTGTTTACCACCCAGCAACTTTCTCACTTTCTGATGGCATGGGGAAGGTTTTGGGTTTCTGGCGGATGCTGACAGAAGTCAAGTGCGCGGCAACATGCTCAACAGCTTCAGATTCTTCATTGCCTTTCTTTGAATCAGCTTTCGTTGCAGTTGCTCCGTCGCCCTGATCCTACGTACGCTTCGTAAGTGCGGCCGGGGGGAGGGGAACGGCAGCACAGTTCGACAGATTCCCAAGACGGAGAAGATGGACCGCAGATGGCTCCCTGGACCGCCAATTGGTGCCAGTAGAAGCGAGGTCCGTGGACAATCCCCATTTGGTCCGTGGATTCCAGGGTCGCTAACATCACGTCACCATGGTGTCGCCCAGTAGGTCGCCGGATCATTGGTGGATCCTTCAACCCCCAAAGCCACCCACAGATGTCTCAAGCAACTTTGATACCCGGTTTGGACTTCTTTGCCGATCTCAGGTCTCCTGCATTTGACCTTGGGTTTGCGGTTCAATCAGTCCTTGGAGCACGTGAGTTGGCCATGCCAGTTGCAAACCTTGACACTTGGCGCATAACAATCAAAGGTACAGGAGTTGATCCCCAAAGAGAGATAAAGAGAGAAATTCCATCAACTCCTGGATGTTGACTTAGATTTTGAAAGGCTTAGGCCGTTGCCACACAAGAAAAACGGCGACCTTCTAGTTCTAGCCCTGCAACGACGATCTACACGCCACCTTTCCGCCGCGGGATTGCCCAGTCGGGTTGCCTCTCTTCCAGGAGCTTTGGAGATCTCTTCAACCAGAGGCTCCCTGCGAGTTCCTTGCCTCCCACCTTGCAGCGCTTGCGCTTCGGTGCCCACTTCAACGAGCCGCTGCGGTGCCTCTCTTCGAGCGAGGGGGTGCTACGTGGCTTGCAGTGCTTAGGTTTGGGTGTGCATTACCAACAGGTAGAGGGCATGCAGTGGTGCAACCTGGAGGAGCGGTGCCGCCGTGCTGCTGCCTGTTATTCTAATGCTTGTTTAAACTGAGAGCCCCTCAGTTCGACCTCGAAGATCCCAAAAGCCGCCGAAATCGGCCAGCAAAACCTCGACGACGGAGGACGCCAACCCGGACGGTGGAGGCGGGAACGTGGAGACCTTAACGAACCTGAGTGAGCTCTATGTTGGATCTCTCACCGCCCCAAATATATGGCCCTTTCCTATCAAAACAGAGGTCCTTTTCAGGCTCTAGGATGGTTTTCTGACAGGAGGTAGCTTTGGCAGTCATGTTAAGCCTCCTACCACCCTTTGGCATGTGAAAGATCAGCTTTGAATTCTCCTCAACAATGGGTTTGGAGAAGTTCAGGAGACGGGCGAACGGATCAGCACGATGGGCCGAACGGGTCTGTCCGAACGTACCGGGTAGAGCCGCCGATCAGCGGTCGAACAGAGATGGGTTCGCTGGGCTGCAGCCTGCTGGCCCCATTATCCACGTTTGGGCCCTGGATGACATGGATAGACCCAAAGGATGTTAGGCGTTGCTGTTGTTGGGTTTCATGTGGTGTTTTTTTTCCTGATGAATGTTTGTGGAAGGTCCTACTGTTACGGCTGGAGATGGCCAAAAAAAAAATCGGCTTCCTTACTTGTTTCAAGTTCATTATATTGGTTCCAGGTCTTTCTTGGTCATGATGCTACGTAGACCACTGACGTCAGTCCTACTCATCGAACATAACATGGCAAGGGGCAGACTGGCCCAGCAGGTTCCTGGCGGAACACGTCACAGGCGATGTTCTGCCGTTTCGAAGCAAAGGGTCTGCCGTGATTCATGCTCGTCTTCCGTGCTTAAAAACCAAATGCACCACAGACCAATAAGACATCACAAGACAATCAAGTATCAAATACTGCACATGGTTTTTCATCATTATCTTTGACACATCTTAACACCTAATTAGATGAAACGCCTGGGTGGATCCGCGGGCTACGCATCAAACCCTCCACAAGCCTCCGTACCAAAGTGAGAGATGTTGACAGGTAAAAGCAGCTCAAAGCTCACCTTGAGGGGGCGTGCAATACCTCCCACCAGAGTTTTTTGGTAGTCCTGGTGTATGAGAGGTGTTGCTCCAGTCTTGGCACAGGGGTCAAGCTCACCCAAAATGCGGTATGTCTTCACAACCACGTCCTCGCAGGAGTTGCAATTGGGAAATTTGCATTTGGAGACCCTCAGCCATTGGAATCTCCCTCAGTTGCAGCGCCTCACCCTCAGCGGACGCTTCAACCAGCCCTTGGCTGCCTTGACACGACAGCCTTCTTTCGACAGTCTTCTTTCGCAGTTGCGGAGTTTGACCCTCGGCCATCGCTTCGATCAGAGCTTGGAACAGCTGCACATGTTGGTGAACTTGGAGTACTTGAGCTTGGGCGATGCCTTCAATCAAGGCTGGATGTGGGTGCCTTTCTTTGGGCCTTCCTCAACAAGCCCGATCCAAAAAAACACCCACTCGAGAAGAGTTACACCGAACTCATTCTGTTGATTCTTTTGTTTTTGCCGTGCCATTTGACATGTGGAGATGCACACAGAGCTTCAGCAAAACACAAAACCAATGCAATGAATCACATCAGATCATATCTCCGTTGCACCAGGAGAGCATAGGAAAAACTCACATGGTGGGCACGGCAGACATCTTGGGATGGATTTGCCAACCTGCAAGACAGCATTTGGGAGGTCATACTTTAGAATCTTTCATTCGTTTTGCGCCTTCATTGATTCATACTCTTCTCCTAAGTGCTTTCTCAAACCAACCCCCCCAAAAAAAAGGCAGGAATCAGCGTCGCTCGAGTCACCCACAGCTTGGAGTATTCTCCACACATCTCCACGTACAGCTTGGAGTACACTGGGGTGCCAAAAGTTGCGCTTCTTGACTTCTAAAACATCACAA